GGACAAGGACGACGGCGAGGGGGCTTGGGGAGGCGAACGCAATCAACTCGATGTCGCTGGACTCTGCAGGACGTCGGGCGCAAAGAATACCAAAATGGGGTGCTCAGGCGATAAAAGGAGTGAAGAAAAGGAATGACAATGGCCCAAGGGATTGAACATGACCGGCCTCCCCATCAAGGAGGATGAAATGGAACAAAAGAAGCGACTGACGAGAGACTAGCAAAGCACTTAGTGGTGACTACTAAGCAGTAACGAAGTAGTAGTACCGCGGCTCCCTGGATGCTTGGCAAGGAGAAATAAGTTTGCTTCCCTTCTGCCTTGAATCGAATCTAGGGAGAAGTCGATAGTAGTCGAAACTGAAAGGAAGAAAGGTAGACTCGATAGATGTAACCCAGAATGCAAACCTTATTAGAATTATTCTAGCCCATGAATGATATTAAATAATAATATGATGGCGTCGAGCTTCATTAGGTGGATGGAATTTCCGCCGCCATTCTCAGGCAGCAAGGCTACTACTATCCCGTCCAGAACTCTCAGTCTTCCAACGGCAGCCTTTGACACTGAAAAAATGCCATCAATAATTATCAAGACTCAAGAGTAACTCGGAAAATTAGACTAACAGTTTGAAAACTCAACGCAGGGATCATCAAAGGGGGGCTGCAAAGCCTGCAATATTAATAATAACGATTATTGCACTCCGTAAATGTCCCACTTTGGGCTCCAGACTCCAAAGGCCGCGCGCTCTGGTGGGTCAATCGCGGAAAAACTCGAAGAAGCCAAATAAGAATAGGATTATTATTGACGAAGTAATTATACTTGGAGAGAACTGAAGGTTCTATCCATAGAAGCAGAACTTATCACTTCTAGTTACGTTACTGTGGTCAATGGTCTTAGTGGTGGCTCTTCAAGCCGTGCGATCTGAATCCACAGGATAGATTATTGTGATGTGCGTACAGTGGAGCTCATTATTGCTCATGGACAACAAGCAAGTCTAGATCATAGATAATCATTAGATATATTTTAAACACAGTACGGCCACGAGGGAAGAGGTTACTCTGACTACAGGAAACGTAGATATCCCTTGAATAATAACTAGCCCAAATACTATCTACTTGGTTCTACAACAAAGTTTTCTCAAATACTACTTACTCCCTTACGACAGATTATCACCAGTCTTTTCTCCCGGATCATCTTTTCCTTGGGATTTTATTGAAGGGAGCAAGCCCTTGACAATCCTTCCTTAACGCAAGGACTGGCCCAGGTCTCTCTCTCTCTCTCTCTTCCTGTTATTTTGTTGTGGCGTTTCTGTTCACGGTAGTAATCCATGTCGACGTCATTTTATCCGAGTCCTAGATACAGAAACACACTCTATGACTCCGTGGAGGCCATATACCAGTAGGCCATCAATGCAATACGGGGCGCTGGTTCAATACAAACAGTCCTGCTGTAGTGACAAAGGAGAACAAGAGGGGTCATTTCACAAAAGGCCATGCACTAGGCCGCAGCGGCGGTGTTGATTCTCGATCTGGATGGCTCTTGCGCTGACCGTGCTGGTTCAATGGGCTCCTGAGGTAGCAGCTCGATTTGACGGACTAAGAAACTCTTCTCGTCCGTGAACTGGTCGTCATCCGTGCGATCCATTAGGAATTTAGGCAAGAATTTCAACAAACGGTCCCGATTGTTGATGAGAATCCGTTGCACCGCGACCGATTTGTTAGGATTGGCGACGAATACCTATGCCGCATTCCTCATCAGCAAATCGCCGACTTGCCGCCCATCGTTCGCCCCAGAGCAATACGGAATCATACCTTGAAAACGTGGAACCCTTCGTACTGAATCATTTTGCGATCGTCTTTCAGCAATTGCATGCAGAGTTTCAGATTCTCCCCGCTTTCAACATACGCCATCATCACGCTGTAGTTGGCTCGATCCAACAGAATCTCACCAAGAAGCTTTATACTCTGGCGCTTGGTAACATAGGAACTCGATTGGATCAGTGCATTGAAGCGGGAGAAAAAGAGACCAAAGTTGGTTGTAAGGTAGGAGGTCACAAGACTCTTGTGACGAGTGAGAATGTCCTATGCCATGGTTATTCAATATGACTACCCTGGCAGGGATTTCCTAGCAAACACAACAGGCATTGCTTACCCTAAATGTTGTAAAGGAATCAGCGCTCACTTCGAAGCTGCTCTTGTCGATCCAATGGAAAAATCTCCAAAAGATGCCATCGCCTTTCTGGGGGATATCGGGATTGACTTGTGTCAGTCTGATCGCCTGTTGACCCTCGGTGGACTGATCGTATAGGATGATGGCCGCACACACGTCGAATTTGAGTGCTTCTCTCAGGACGGCGCCACACGGCATTGTGCTCTCGGGTGATTCGTATCCCCGACAGAGTTCGACAATGATCTCCGGACGATTGTGTACAATATAAGAAATGACTGGCGGGTCGCCATTGTTTGCCTGGGCGGGTCGGAAACGAAGGATATGAGAGAATATGGTTTGCGTATCTTTTCTGGCTTGAAAGGGAAGATGACGAAGGTTGCGGGCAAGTTCGTATAGCAAATCTTCGTGGACGGTGGCTTGAACCAGAGCATGTACTTGCTCCGGAGTCGTCTCAGTTTCTAAAGCAGACTGCAGTCAGCATAACAACCTTACTCTTTCATAACATGTACCGATGCGGCGAGACGATGCTGCACGCGCACTACACTAACCTTGAGTGCCTTGGACGATCACTTTCATTTGCGCAAGTTGCTTCGCCAGGTCATCTTCGACCTTTATGGAGCTGTCAGCAAGCTGCAGGTTCGTAGAGTATATGGCATAAACAAAGCAAAGGGACTTGTGAGACTGACCTTGGCAGCTGCTGGAGCTTCCCCGAGTCTTAACAATAGCTCCTTGATTGTTCGGACGACGTCAGAAGGCGGCCGTGGTCGATTGCGCCAGAGGAAAGCCATTTTTGTTAATATAACTAATGTGATATGTATTGGACAGGAAAGCTTGATGTAGAGAAAACAAAGAAAGGAAGGGAGACAATGAGCTATTCAGTACATGTGAAAGATGCAGGGCAAAGCAATTGATCCCTAGCAGAAGAAGGGCAACATACAACACTTGCTCTGTCTCCACTGAAGGAAGCGGTGAGCCTGTACAAGGAGAAAAGAGATAGAGATGAAGATGAAGATGGAGATGGTGGTGGGTGATGACGATGATGCTGATGATAATGAGGTTCGTCTCAGCTCCCACTTGTTATCTGCCCTATCGGTCTGACGGGATGAGCTGTTGTCAGGCGGAGAGCCGATAAACAAAGTACGTAGCCAGCATTGGGCGGGGCAACCAGCGGGTTCTGTGATAACTCAATTTTTTTTTTTTTCTTTTTTCCGATTTTGGTCCCCTCAATTGCTTGAACCCCTCCATCCATATATTTGCATGGTCCATTGATCGCCACGATTTCGTCGAAATAATCGAAAATTCTGGGAATTAGGAGCCCGAAAATTCGAATTGCCGTTGTCAAGATTTCAATAGAGTCAATGTCTGCCACAATTCCCTCAGACCGTCCCCTGAGGGACCAAGATGCCCTCTCAACAACTTCCTCAGACGATTCGGATATCAGCAACGAAGAGGGATGGGAAGATGTTGAGCCTGATGACGAGACACAGCCTGTGATTGGGCTCTTTACCGATAAGGTCTACCCAGATGTACAGTCTATGCTGCGGGAGTCTAAAGACAAGCATGGCTTTGACTTGCGGAAGATTCGAAAGGACTTTGGTGTGTGATATCGATCGTTGGCCTTGGGTTTTCATTATTGTTCTGATGCTCCTAATATGGGCATAATCATGCTTATTTGCGAGTAACCCTAGCTAACTTGTTACGTTCCACATCAGACTTGGATTTCCTCGGTACTATCAAATTGGTCAACTATGTCCGGTCTCAAGTCAAAGCTGGGAACATGACCCCGGATGTCTCTTCGAAGGATAAGTTTGAGGACGAGGTTTACTTGAAGCCGGTCCTTGAAGATGACGCCCTTTTGTATAGCCTGGATGACATCGAAGATGAAGAATCCGCTACAGCCAGTGCCACTGAGGCAGAGCGCCGCGTGATCGAGCTGCAGGAGGATCTTGAACGCCTCCAGAGCCAGTTCACTGAGTATAGAATGGCTGTGCAAAAGTCCATGGAAGAACAGTTGTCGAAGGAAGATGAGAAGTTGGGATCATCGCCCAGCGGCCCGTCCGGCAAGAAGATGAGCAAGATTGAAGAGGCAGACTCGGATTACTTCGTCTCTTACTCGTACAATAGTCAGTCCTCCCCTGGTCTGTCGACCCACATTGCCTTGCTCTAACTGATATATATTTGAAGCCATTCACGAGTCCATGCTCAAGGACGCTGTCCGTACTGACTCCTACCGGGATTTCATTTACGACAACAAGCACCTTTTCAAGGACAAGGTCGTCTTAGATGTCGGGTGCGGAACTGGCATTCTCTCCATGTTCTGCGCCAAAGCTGGTGCCAAGAAGGTCATCTCAGTCGACAATTCCAATATCATCGACAGAGCCAAGGAAATCATCTACGCCAACGGCTTCGGCGATGTGATCACGTACGTATTTCTGCTCCGTCATATTTTCACCTAGCGGAATTTAACATTGAATCAGATGCATCCGTGGCAAGATTGAGGAAGTCACTCTGCCTGTTTCCCAGGTCGACATTATCGTCTCCGAATGGATGGGCTACTGCCTTCTATTCGAGGCCATGTTCGATTCGGTCATCTACGCCAGAGATCGCTATCTCGCTCCAGGAGGACTGATGGTGCCCTCGGACGCCACCATACGTATTGCGCCGTTCGCCGATTCCGAGTTCATCTCGTCGCACATCGCATTTTGGGACGATGTGTACGGCTTCAAGATGGGCAGCATGCGCAAGAACATCTACGACGACGCGCTTGTTCGTAGCGTGCAGCCTGCGGCAATTCCTGGTGATTCCGATGTTTTCCTAGAACTGCCGTTGCACACCATCACCGTGGAGGAGCTCTCGTTCCTGAAGGAGTTCCAGGTTACTCTGAAGGAAGATATTGAAGCCCTTGACGGTTTCGCTATCTGGTTCGATATTTTCTTCATGCCCTCCAGGGATTCTACTGTCCCGAAGGACGCCGTTCCTTCGGAAATGCAGAAACAGGGTTTCGTCGCCTTCACTACAGGCCCTGACGGACCAGAGACGCATTGGCAACAGGGTGTTCTCCTGATCGATCGCGAGAGAAAGAAGGGAGTGGCCCTAAAGAAGGGTCAGACTATCGCCGGCAAGGTCGGTTATCAGAAGAAAGAAGAAGGGTCGCGCTCGCTGGACATCACCATCGAGTGGGATACGCAAGCGGGCGAGCACGGGGCCCAAAAATGGGCGCTCCAATGAGTTATGGCGCTTCATCAAAAGTTCTGTCTATATTGTAATTCATGATTCATGCTTGGTTGGTACCAATATACCGCTCAGAATAGAGAGACGCTCAAGTCCAAAAACAAATGCATATCTCGTGAAGCAACCATGATTGACCCTGCCATCCGTGGCTATGATGAGGATCAAACGTCGTAATCAGTAGTATTAAGTATGATTCACATCAAGATCAAGCTTCCATAATGAAAGGTGTCAAACATGGCGTCTGTGTGACTGTGTCTCGCGAACGTCCCCTCGGTCGTGGTCATGGTGATCACGGTGACGGTGCGAATGGGAGTGCGAATGGGAATGGGAGTGACGATGTCGCTTGCGGGAATGATCGCGAGAACGATCGTGACTCCTTTCCCGGCGATGCGAGCGATGTCGGTGTGAGCTCCTTGGTTTCTTGTCCTGATGTTTGTCAGGCGCGTCAAGGCTGAAGTCTTCAAGACTATCCCCAGACTCCGACGCCCTTGATCTTGACGTTGATCTCCTCCTGCGATGACGCGACCGTTGTCTTTCTGCCGCTTTCAGTGCATCCAATTCTCTCTTTCTCTCCTGGTTCCACTTCTTCCTTTCCAGTTCGACCGACTTCAACTGGCGAACACCCCTCTTCATCGCCGCAAGTGGATCGTTGACACCTAGCCGGGCCCTCTCCCTCTCCTGTCTCATCGGATCTTCATTGCCCCAAACGTCTTTTTCAGGCATAGCATCAGGCGCTAAAACATCGTGACCGGAGGAAGAGTACCAGGGCATTTGGCCAGCCGACTGGCGATACCCCGCCGCATTCGAGAAGCGCATCGTATATTGGTCCTCATAACTCCGGTTCTTGTCAGCTGCCTCCTTCTCCGCCTCTTGATTCTTCTCTACCGGTTTCTGCGCTGTCTCGGAAGGAAATAGATTGATATGCCCCGTACTGTCTAAAAGCGGCGCATCGCTGGTCCTGGACACAGCGAGCTCCTCCCTTTTCGCCAGCATCAACTGAGCATCTTCTCTCGCGAGTCTGATATCGCAATCCGTATCATTTTCACCTGCCAGTCGCCTCCGCTTTTTGTATCTTCCAGCATCCTCTCCATGGGTTCTGTCGCGTCGCGTATCGGACGGAGCAGACAGCGGGGGTGGTGGGGTAGAGGGTCGTTCGCCACGGAGGATTTGAATTCTGCGCTCAGCATCGATTTCTTGCATACGACGTTCCTCTTCCTCCTCCCGAGCCTTGGCCTGAGCCTCGTCACGCCGTACACGGGCGATATTCTCGGGATTGTAGACGTTCCATGACTTCTTGCCCAGGAGGTGACTGCTCAATGCATCAGTATGAGTTGGCCAGAATTGCATGAGAACAAATTCAGAGTGAACTCACAGAGGCATGATGTATCGAAGTACTCTGCGAGCACCGCGTCGCGTAGCATCAACACAAGCGAACTGCCTGTGACACTACCGAAGAGTTGACGAGTTGCCGGAGATCTCCCAAGGTGATAAGGGTGGATCATCATTAGCTTACGCCACACCGATCGGCGAGAACGGAGCTCCACGGGCCGATGTGGCTAATTATGGGAGCACCGGCAAGTCAGCAATTCTGCCTCAGGTATCTATTCTCCGGACTTGTCTCCAACTTCCTCGATCTCCCCGCCACGTTATACACATGCCTCTTACGGAGTAATCTTTCTCCATAAGTTGATCAAGTCTCCTACTTCTTCTACTCCTCGATCAGTCTTTTCAATACATATCATCTCCGGTTTCTACCAACACTCATACAATTTCCATCACATAAACTAGGCTATTCTGACGATCGCCGCAAGCTTCAATCACATTCACCTACTCCTGTTCCTATACCAACACTTGCGTCTCATCGTCCACTGCGCCCCTCAACAACAGGCTCGCAACCATCGCCTCATCAAATCATTCTCGAATGTCCCACCTTTACTAGAACCAACATGTTCAATCGTAACAACTATCCCTCCGTACCGAATCCTTTCTCAGGTCGCCCCTCCTCTCGAGGCAATGCGAGTCCTGGTCAAGGAGGTCCCCCACTTCCACGAAGAGATGGGTATGATACTGGCCATTCGCCGATCAGTGGCGCAGGGTATGGACAATCGCCGCATCAGTTTGACCACGATGTTCAGATGACTGATGCGTATAATAATTCAAGAGGTTATGGAACTCCACCACCCAGACCAGGTTACTCGCAGATGCCTTCAAGAAACCCAGTAGGGGGCAGGACGCCCGGTGCGTCAGCTCAGGTATGGACGCTACGACCTGCGAAGAGTCCTGACAACACATATACATTCGGGAACCTGTAAGTTTTGGATGTGAAATTCGGTTTCTGAGAGAACCAAGCTAACAACAAGCAGGGTTGCCGTCTCAACACAGGACTTCCCGCCCTCGCGCGACGGACTTGACCTTTTACTCCTTGTGAACGATCTCTATGTCTTTTCTGCTCGTCCTCTCGATGGTTTCCCTCCTGGACATATCAGCATGTCGGATCCCCAGCGGACATGGGCGGGCGTTGCTTTTACAGATTCAGTCAAGGCTCAGATATACGATCCGTTCAGTCAGGGTGGACAAGCCTATCTCGGATCAACAGATATTGAAGTCGGCTTTGCTGGGAAAAAGAGGGTCGAGACTCCGTACGACCAAGATGAGTTAGGAAACGCCGTGATCAAGGTAAATACTCGTTTGAATCGGTGATTTTCGCACAGTACTGACTTTCTCTAGAACTTTGAGAACCAGATCTTCTCTCCGGGCCAGAAGATCTTGATGGATCATAAGAGCATACCGCTGCTCCTGACCGTCAAGACCGTTCAGCGGGTCGATCTTACATCGGAGAAAGCTGGAGCTGCTGCTGGAAGCACAGAGACGGACCCCGCCGCGAGAGGTATCTTGACAAGGCACACTCAGATTACTTTCTTCAAGGATGCCCGCACCGGTATCAACTTGAAGCCATCGAATCGTCGCCCCGCGGCAAACTCTATTATCACACCCGACTTCAAGTTCGAAGATATGGGAATCGGAGGTCTTGACGCGGAGTTCAGTACAATCTTCCGTCGTGCGTTTGCATCTCGTATCTTCCCTCCTGGTTTGGTCGAAAAGCTTGGTATTCAGCACGTGAAGGGTATTCTGCTTTACGGTCCCCCCGGAACGGGTAAGACCTTGATCGCGCGGCAGATTGGAAAAATGCTGAACGCGAGGGAGCCCAAGGTCATCAACGGTCCAGAAGTGTTAAACAAGTTTGTCGGTCAGTCGGAGGAGAACATTCGAAAGCTGTTTGCCGATGCAGAAAAGGAATATAAGGAAAAAGGCGAGGAGAGTGGGCTCCATATCATTATCTTCGACGAGCTGGATGCTGTGTGTAAGCAACGTGGCAGCGGAGCAGGTGGTGGCACAGGCGTTGGGGACAGCGTGGTCAACCAGCTGCTGTCGAAACTGGACGGTGTTGACCAGCTGAACAATATCCTCCTGATCGGTATGACCAACCGAAAGGACATGATTGATGAAGCTCTGTTACGGCCGGGTCGTCTCGAAGTGCACATGGAGATTTCTCTTCCGGATGAGAAGGGACGTACTCAGATTTTGAAGATCCACACCCAGAAGATGAGGGACAACAATGTCATGGATACAGACGTCGACCTGGCCGAGCTCGCGCTACTTACTAAGAACTTCTCTGGCGCCGAAATTGCTGGTCTTGTCAAGTCTGCGTCGTCGTTTGCTTTTACCCGGCATGTCAAGGTCGGTACCATGGCCGGCATCAGTGAGGATGTCGTAAACATGAAGGTCAACAGAGCCGATTTCCACCATGCGCTGGATGAAGTCCAACCCGCCTTTGGTGTGTCAGAGGAAGAGCTCTCGAGCCGTATCCAATACGGCATCATCCATTACTCCCCTACAATTAACGAAATCCTGAAAGAAGGAGAGCTTTTCGTGAAGCAAGTCAGCAATGCTGAGTCCTCGCCCCTCTTTTCTGTTCTGTTGCATGGTCCCACCGCCAGTGGAAAGACTGCTCTGGCCGCTCGAATCGCGATTGATTCCGGTTTCCCCTTCATCAAGCTGATTAGCCCTGAGGATATGGTCGGCTTTAGCGAAATGGCCAGAGTTCAGTACATCAGCAAGATTTTTGATGATGCTTACAAGAGTCGTACAAGTGTCGTTGTCGTTGACAATATTGAGAGAATCATCGATTGGGTCCCCATCGGTCCTCGGTTCAGCAACACTATCCTTCAGACCTTGATGGTCTTCCTGAGAAAACAGCCTACCAAAGGCCGACGACTGCTGGTCCTTGCCACCACAACGGAGCGCGCTGTGCTCAAACAGTTGGACATTTACAACTCGTTCAACTCAGATATCATGGTTCCCAACGTGATGACGTATGATGAGCTGCGTTATATCATGGAGCAGTCCGGAGCATTTGATGCCGCCGAGATTGAGCAGGCCTTGGGAGAAGTTGGTGGCATCACCGAAGATAGAACTATAGGTGTTGGCGTTAAGAAAGTGCTTTTGGGTATTGAAACGGCCAAGCAGGACCCTGACAAGGTGGGCCGTTTTGTCCGCGTCATCAACCGGGCAATTGAAGAGTGAACCTTCCAATAGACTTTTGCTTTCTGATGCGGTGGCTCGTTGTATATCGTTCATAATCACTTTTATACATAGTAAAGATTATCATAGCTTTGGGAGGTGACATGTACAGAACAATATTATCCCTCAACGAGCCTCACCAAATTGCTCAAATGGTGATGCCGACAACCAATGTAAATATACTGTCCAACATAGCATGGACCTCAATTTACTCCGGTCTGAAGACCATGCACCGGCTGAGGGGGATCCCTAAGGGGTACTCCATATTTCAAGGCAGTAACATCCCTGGCACCTCCATCTCAGATATTCATCTGTCCTCGGTTTAGATGTTTTCCATTCCTTCCATCAATGCATCGTGCAGGAAATCTACTGGCTGAGCTGAGAAACCCGTAAGAAAGCCTTGATCGAAGGGATTACCTGAAGGATAGAGGCGCTGCGATCTCCTTTGTGCTTTTTAAGCTGCATGGCACTACCCATTGTTTATTGATTGGATGACTCCGGTGGATAACGACACGAATCGAACCTGGTGCTAGTAGGATTTGGCAAGGGAACGCGCTGAGAGAGGATGAGCTGCTGTCAACAATACTTCTCTATCTCTCGCATCAAGGCGAAAGAATTACCGGGACCTGGCTGCAGCTTCCCTGGACGTCTCACTGTTCCAGGACGCATATGTATGCCTTGACGGAGCTTGAGGAGCGATGGATGCTCTGTCTGTTAAGGAGATGATGTTTGCTACATTCAACGAGTGTATGGGTCAAGAGGGAAAGCTTGAGGAAGAGAATACGGATCTTCCTACTAGAACTCACACTTGAGATACCTATCATTCTGACGCTCTGTGGGTCTTGTTCTTTACAGGGAATGAGGATCGAGATGGGCCAACGGAGTCCAATATAAGAACACGCCTTTTAGATCGGAATATACACATCGAATGCTTCGGAAACAACAGTCTGACCTTGAGCTGCGAGCATAGGATATGATAATTAATTATTCAATCCTGGCACATCGCGTTCGACAATGTCTTGAGAGGATCTATTCACGTCCGTGACTATTTCGCAAGAGTCATACTCCGTAGTGGTCTTCCGGTTTCAGGTCATCCTGATTCAGGGGTAATCACATTATCACCATCCACTTTATATCAACTAGTCACATCACATTCTACTAGTCCAGTTGACTATTGATACGTAAACTTAATTTAGGGTCTTATGTGCTCTATTGCATCATTTACATGATATTCCCATTAATCCTTTTTACTGTCTAGAGGTGAATTCCTCACATGTTTCCTCCTGGTCAAGTGACATGCCTGGACATCTGACCGTGGACCTTTCCCTGGATCCATCGCTCGCATCCTTCCTGACTACTAGGTAATTCACATAGCTACAACTGACGCGTACAGAAACCATGGACTACTCTTCTACGCGAGAGAAAACCGCGCGTTTTCCATCTACACCTTAGCCAGACTCAGAACCTGACTACGGACGTCTCAAGAACAAGCTCTACAACTTCATCCGGCACCAATGGTTGCTACAACCAGCAAGCGAATTAATGATTGCTGTATCTACGCGCCTGTGATGCGCTCCTCCAAACGCGTCCGAGGCGTATTTTTGATGCCCAAAGTGTCCTTGTGTGCCTTAGGGCCGCACGCACCTTGTCCTTGGGCTCGTCCTCCCGCAAAAGCGGCAAGGAGAACGATCCGAAAAAGGACGGCGGAGCGGAGACAGGCGGTGCGAATACGTCCGCTGGCGGAAGTGGAGTCGGCGGAATAGAGGGGGTCGTTGTCCCTGGCGCATCCCATGATCTTG